AAAATGTGAAAAAGAGCGATTACTTTAATCTAAATCATAAAAATAGTATCTATATGATAATAATTATATAATATAAAATAAAACACACATACACACATATATATATATATATATATAATATATAAATATATTTATAATAATATAACACAAATATATACGTGTATATGTATACATATACATACATATATACATATACACATATATAATTGTTATATTATATTATATTTATATTATATTTATATTACATATGTATGCATATTTCATTATTAATATACATATATTTACTATTTCCTTATTATTCTTTCCATATACATATATGAATAAAGATAATGATAAATCCAACATTTGAGCTGTATATTTGCAAGTATGAGTATATATATATTTGACAACGTAGTGTGTTGTGAAAGATTGAGCGTTTGAAAATCATGTGATATTTTTTTAGTTAATTTCTTCAATCGATCCGATTCCTAGAAAAATGTTCTGAATTAAACTATTTGCCGAAAACGATCACGTGCAAATTGCGAAAATAACAGCGAACCAGCGACATTTCTGTCGCTACGTTGTCGTATGACTTGTAATTATCTCAGAGTTCTCTCTTTGTATCTTTTTCCGGAAGAGCTTCGAGGAAGAGCTTTTTCGAGTGAATGGCCATTCCTCGGAGGTTCTTCGCTCACAGAAAGACAAGAACATAATAGTCGATGCGAAAATACTAAGGCGTCGAACTGCTACTGGTATTTGCTGGCGTGATCCCCGTTGATGGCGGAACGGAAGCTGTCATTGTTGGTGGCGCGTAAGGACTTCCACAGAGTTGGTCGGCTATACGCCCGCCCTCACGAAGGCCGCTGAGGAATGCACCATGTACGGTGGCTGGATAATTCCGGATAGTGTGCTCCCCTGAAAATCCGTCGTGTAAATAGGTCAACGTGCACTTTTGTAAAAAAGAGTTTATTACAACGTGACATTTATCTTGGACAAATTTATTAGATAGATCGCATCGCCATTAAAATCTAACATTTGTATTTATATCGATCTCGGTTCTTCTCATGTTTTATTACATTTCGTTAAATTTCCGCGAGCGCTAATTCATCTTGTTTACATGACCAACATTTCGCGAATAGTAGGATCTTTAAACAGCGTTAACACACGGAATTACTGCGCACACAAGTCGGAAACGGAGTATCGTAGCGAGGCAAATTGCATCGCGCATCCAATCGCAACGTTCCGCAAACGCAAACGACGCTTATGCGTCGTATATTTACGGGGATGCAAACACGCAGCGTGATGGCAAACACAAATATAATTTCCATTAAAGAGAAGCTTAAAAAGATAGTTTAAATTTTTCGCATCTCGATAATACGGACGATGCAAAAGAAAAATATTGACGCAACATTTACCTGCGAAAAACACTCTCGGCTGCGGGGCTGGTTGATTGACTAGGTGTGGAGGTGATACGGGTGCCGCCAGGAGATCGTAATCACTGCCGGAACTGCCCACCGCGACAAAACTGTAGGATCCTCGTGCCCAAGGATCTGCCCGCCATCTCGTCACGACGCTTTCGCGTGGTTGCGGTACCACTTGGTTTCCAAAAATTCCCTGCGAAAGCAAAAAAAAAAATCTCGCTTCAATTTCTCTTCCACTTTCTTTTTCACTCGTAAAATATATACGGAGACCATATTACGAGATATACGGGATAAAGTAATTACGAATAAAATGATTATCGGTGCGAGACGCGTCGTTACGTTTAAGCTAAATAAGATCGCTATTCGACGCGCCGCGCGGAGACTAGAAATTTCATCCACTTACTTTCAAAACGGCGATGCAGCGACCAACGATAACATCGTCACTGACATTTTCCATTACGCAAGCCGCTTCACCGGCGACAAGGGCCAACAGGACCGGAGCCTTGTATAAGTTCCAGAACAGGAAGAGCTCACCGCGCGACGCCGTGGTACTTCCCACGTGGCCGAACAAATTGGCCGTTGGATCCCAGAAAATGCGCTCGAAGCATAGCACTACCTGAAAGATGAAAGGAAAAATTACGGGATTAAAATTATATTGAGGTAGAAACGGAAACTTTTCCGGAATTTCGACAGTATTGTGCAGTATTTTTGTATTTTGTATTTCGTTAAAACGAGTAGCGGATAGAAAATACCGCTGGAGGAAATTTGCAAATAAATAACATTCAAATTTGAAAAGTACATATCTAGTAAATAATTTATCGAATAATTAACTTTAATCTTCTTTAAACATTTAACATAATTATTAACCCGTCATAATTTAATCCTAAATAATTAATCAATTTAATAATCAATTAAAAATTAATCAATTTAATATAATCAATTTAAATAATCAATTTATCAAAAAGATATGCAAAATTTCATTAAACTTTTATGATAAATTTTATAATTTACTTGATAATACTTTTTTGTAAAAATTAATCTATTCGGTTCTTCTCGAGTATACACTATAATATTTCTTAATTCATCATTGACATAAATATTTTCGGCACTAAATCCTTCAATGTAGTCCTCGTTTGTTAAATGAACACACGTTAATTGCTGTTGAAATTCGCCACTGCGCGATCAACGATAAGACTTAATACGTGATTATGCAGCCCTAATATCCCTGTACCAGCACAGGATCGTCCTCCTTGCGAGCGGCATAAATCAGAGCGCTTTAGAGATGACAGCGACTTGTCGAAGTCGCACACAAACGCACACACGTACACGTCGACGCTCACCTTATTTAAATTGCCAAAACCGAGTCGTTGAATGGCCTGCGCCTTCCAGTCCGGAAGCGGTGGATTGAAGGTGACCCCGGAAGGTGGTGCGGAAGTCTTGAGAACGCCAAGGGGTAGTGTAACCAGCACGGCGTCCGCTTTATAAACGGTGTGATTTGTGTGCGGACTGCGGGAGGGTGTGGCCCACACTTCTACGCCATTTGGCCCGTATCGCACCGCCCTGACAGCTGTGTTCAATCGAATATCAAGTCCTTCCGAGAGAGCAACAGGTACGCAAGAATAACCGTTGCGAACTGCAAGGTAAAAGGGTAAAAAAAAAAAAAGCGGATCAGTATTCGGATTTATTGTAATGCCGTGGTGAGAAAGAAAAATCGTCACGATATATATATATATATATATATATATATATATATATATATATATAGTAC